CCTAAACCCTAAACCCCTAAGGCCTGAAGCCCCTCTGCGTGTCAATCCTTCGAAGGCCGAGCTGCAAAGGGCAAGGTCTCTGCACCGCGACCCATCTTCTGGAAGGACAGCTTCGGGCCACAGTAGCTGCCCAAAGATACCAGCTGAACATGGGCCTGAAAGGGTAGATAACAGAGAGAACTTATTAGATTTTTATAATATTAACACTCGTCGTGATTTTTACAGCTTCTTTTTTGGGGGGAGTTGAGACGAATCATTGAGGGCTTATAGGGCTTGAAGGCTTCGGGGTCCAAGGTGCTCGATTGTTGTGTCGGCGTTCTTACGCGTAGTCTCCATTCTAGGTCCTTTTTTTGGTTTAACGATATATAGAGGATCCCCCCTAAAAAAGGAACTACAATGGANNGGGGGGGGGGGGGGGGGGGGGTACGGAAGTGTTTAGGCGGCTTGAGGATGTAGGAACTGTGGGCTCTTGAACTGAGAACCTTCAAGCTGCGAGGGCAGAAACCTCTTGTCCCGATATCTTGGAGTGTTCGACCACAACGAACGATGAGTCAACAAGCACAGTTGCAAGGATTTGCATATTGACAAGGCTCCACCCTCTGTTGGACCTCGATGCTCCGCTGCGGATTGAGGGAGATGCGAGTGCTGGTGCCAGAATTGTCGGCGGGGAACACCGCAGCTGGGAGCATGTAGCATTCCGCGTTGCTCGTGCTTTGCTTCGGGTATCGACCCTTGCGCTCGCACCAGGTGGGCAAGGCTTCGCGATAGAAGGCTCGCAGCTACAAAGGGAGGGCTAACAACAAGTTTGGGGCTTACACCAGTACAAGAACATGCCAGCTCCTACAACCAGAAAGCCTAGCCTACAGTCTAAACTGTTCTGATTTCCATCTGTCCAAAGCAGTAAAACCCAGCCGTATTCTGCAGGGACACAACCGACACAAGCATCTTGGAGAAACTTACGACAGCAACTATGCGATGCACAGAGCTCAAGACCTACCAGTAAACAGGGAGCATTACTTTGCGTTGAATTATTTCGAGCCCATATCTCTCAATGCCGCGCGGCTAAACTACAAGAAACCTGGTCGTCGCAGAGCCGTCCACGACTAGGCCCTGCCAAACAGTCCATACTGTAAAGCCCCCTATAGTGACGTCCAAGAATCCGTCTCAGCATCTGCTAGTGGTGCGGCATCCTTGTATTTGTCACCCAGCCTCATCGCAATGGCATATCGCGACATACATGAAACTCGAAACTTACTGAGTCTTGAATCGAACAGGGGAGAACCTTCTCTTTTTCTCTCTCTCTCTCTCTCTCTCGCTCTCTCGCTCTATATGTATATATATATATATATACACACACACATAAACCTAGTGTCCAGCGGTAGGTGTGTAGATAAAATCTCTGGAACAATCCGAAGTAAAATGTGAGACTTGAGAACTGAATCATTCATGCGAGAAGTTGCTAAATGAAAAACCCGCAGTGCCTGCTTGTCAGTCTCTTTTCAGTTTCCCTCCTGCCTCCGCCTCACTCCTCCTTCCTTCCTTCCTTCCTTCCTTCCTTCCTTCCTTCCTTCCTGCCTTCCTACCTTCCTTCCTTCTTTCCCAGCCCAAACCCTGATAGCCTGATCCCTAAACCTAAACTGCCAGACTCCGGCGCACGAAGGCGGTGTGCCCGACTTCGTCGCCAAGAGCTTACCCGAGTCGACTGGTTTGAAAAAGTAAAGGTACGTTCCCAGTAGTCCCTACATCAGTATGTAATCGTATTAAACCAAAACCCGATTCGCATTATTAAGGCCCTTTTGCCACTAAACTTGTCAGGAGGCTTCTCCAACATGTCGCTCTCCTGCAGTCTTGCTTGAGAACTGCCACGAGCATCCAAACTCTGGTAGGTCATGGCAAGCATAAGAGCATGCTTGTGGTCCAATGGCGATGATGACGATACTGAAAAAGATTAAGGTTACAACTGTCAGCCCGAATACTCTCAATCTTAAGACTGTTCCGGCCTATGCCCGAAACCCCTCCCGCCCTAGATGCTCAACATGATGGTGTCCATGGTTGAGGCTTCTGTTCGGCTTCGGCATTTCCCTGCTCTGGGATTCTGAGAGGTTCGAGCTCTTCACGGTCTGGGAGTTGAGTGTAAGCTTCTTTGCATTTCTGGGTGTGGGGCTGCATGTGCAACAAGACATGGTTGTGTCGGCACAAGCTACGGACTTGAAGCTCGATGGTTCTGTTCGGCCTCTGGGCTGGAGAGCTTCGAGTGTCGGGAGATGATCTATCCAGTGTCTAGCTGTAGCATTTTCGCTGGTTTCATCGAGTCATCACAGTGAGACTTTGCTTGCACGGTTTTCTGCGGGTTGAGAATGCTCAGTCCACCGTGGACTTTGACCGTTATGTGCCTGCTGTCGTTCCTGTTTGGAGTTCCTAATATAGGGGCCTTAAAAACTAGGGTTTTGGGGCCCATTATGCTACAACATCACAAATAACACACAAAATGCTATTGGTAATTATTTAGGCCCCTACATTATTCCCAAGCTTGGCTCCCCCACAAGACTACCCGACACTGTAAAAGCTGTGACCCATCAGTCCTGCTGCCCGCCAAAACGGGTGGCCATGAGCCCAGTGCCCTTGTCGTCAAGCCCTCAGCCACAAGGGGGCGGAGTGATTTGAGATACATTATGGGGTCGAGGGACATTGTTGCAATTATTGCTTTAAGCTTTCTTCTGGGTTCGGCTCTGAATCATATAACTGCACTGGGGGCATGCGGACTATGTCAAGATGAGGGCATAGGGATCACGGTTTGGAGCAGCTGTTTGAGACAATTTGGGCGAGACTGCTGACAAGATAAAACCGGCACCAAGCACTTGAAACCTCAGTGTAAACCTGTAGAAACTGAACTACCCAAAGTCTGCCTAAACTTAAGACTCCCGCCCTACACAGGCATGAATGAACGCCTAAATTTCGCAGATACCACTAGATCCGAAACACTGACATGACTTTCAATATCAAACCCAAAGCTGCCAGAGCCCCAACCCTGCAACATGCTAATTTCGAGTGCAACCCTGCAGTCGAAGCGGGAATGTGAAACCTACATCTCGAAACCCCAGAACAAAACCATGAGCCGCTTGAGGGTTTAGGATTTAGGGGTT